CTCGGAAGGAAGGTTGGGCAATCCTACTTCCGTAGTGATACTGCCTCAGAAACCCAAGGAGGGGTCGCTATGAGTTGGGGCCGACTCGACGGCACATAACAACAACAACAACAGTGTTTTGCATGAATAAGCCTTCCTAGATACTCAAGTTTCTGGATGTTTGAAAATCTACTTCTTTAATAAAGCTTTCTAAAATTTATAACTCTGAACTAAAATCTTCTGGAGTCCTTCTCTCCTGACTTTCTGGTACTAAATTATCCTTGGGAATTTTTGGTCACCATTTTGAATAAGTGGTTATCACATGCTCCACAGTGGTGTTTCAGGGCCTATTAAGGAAGGTGGAACTGTTGGGCTTCAGGCAGCAGGACCTTTGGGGCTTTGATATGTTTTTTCCACTCCTTATTGGCAGGTTGTGAGTTATAAATTCTGACTGCTATCAATGCATCTGATTGGCATGGCCTCTCTGCCATATTTCCCTTTTACTGTCTTCCTTTGGTTAGTAAACTAGTTAGTGTTAAAAAGCAAAGATGTCGCCTTGAAGACTAAGGTGTGCCTGACTCAAGCCATGGTATTTTCAGTTGCCTCATATACATGCAAAAGTTGGACAATGAATAAGGAAGATCAAAGAAGAATCGATGCCTTTGAATTATGGTGTTGGTGAAGAATATTGAATGGATGGCCAGAAGAATGAACAAATCTGTCTTGGAAGAAGCACAGCCAGGATGTTGCTTACAAGCGAGGAGGAGGAGACTTCTTCTCATGTACTAGTCAGGAGGGACTAGTCACTGGAAGAGGACATCATGCTTGGTAAAGTAGAGGAATAAAGCAATAAAGAGGAGGACCCTCAACAAGATGGATTGACATAGTAACTGCAATAATGGGCTCAAACATACCAGTGGTTGTGAGGATGGTACAGGACCAATCAGTGTTTCATTATGTTGGACACAGATTCCTGAAAGTTGGAACTGACTTAACAGCATCTAACAACAATTAAAAGCTTGGATCCCGAGCCAGGCTGGATCATATTTTATATAAAAGCCATAAATGAAGGCCTCAATCTCTTCTATATATACGTGTTTTGACTCTTCAAAGGCCTTTTTATTTTCTTTCACAGTTCACATGTTATTGACATGTGAAATTTCCTATTTTTTGAGTTATGGATAAGTGGGATTATAGTTAGAAATAATAATTAACAAACATAAGTTTGTTTACTTATGAATAAGTCAATGTTGATGATGGAGAATAAAACAGACTATAAAATATATTCATATTTTCAGCTTTTGTAGTACTGTTTTGCTGTAGGCCTTTTGTACTGACTTTTCTCTCTTTGTGGAATGATCTTCCTCAGACAGCTGGCAGCTCACTCCCATACCTCCGTCAAGGCTTTGTTCAAATGTGATCTTCTCAGTGAAGTCTACCAGGACTACACTGTTACAAATCCACATGCACATTACTTCTTTTTTACAACACTTACAATTTTCTAACATACTATATGGTACTATAAGGAGCTTTCATAGCATC